AATCTCTTCACACAAAACAAATCTTTTAATTTATAGTATTTTTTACTTGCGACCAAACTATAGATCCCTTCATAAAAATTATTCAAACCTGTAACTTGAAAATATCTAAACTTCAACAAATACAAAACGTCTATATGGATACACACACACACCCATACATAAACCAGAAGACATAAAATGCAAATTGTAACATAAAACAAAGAATAAAAAAATGCAAAAAAATAAAGCCATCACCACACCCAATCTCCAAACAAAACCACATGTAAATCTCATATCAGACATCGGCAGCAAAGCAAAAAGAAGCAATCATGTTGCAGAAAAGCAGCAGGCATGCGGCCATTATTAGCTGCTTAGAAACCGAGATTGTCTTCTCTTCCTCTTTTCCATCATCGCTCTTGCTGCAAGAGGAAGAAGCTCGATCAGGCGCAGTTGTTTGGGAGTGAAGGAATGCAATGGAGATGGGTTGCTGTAGAGCATTTCTGTATTCATATTCTGCCTTCCCTATCACTTGCCTGTAGATCCCACCGCTCTTCGCTCTTCTCCTGCTTTGCAGCACAAAAGAATCACTTTTGGTATTTGCATGCCAGAAAAATAGCGTAATTGCTCATTTAAAGTACAGGAAAAGAGGCAATTACTCTAATGGAAGATGAAGACATGCATGATTGATGCTAAGTAAGATTTACATACATACCACTCAATTTCTATGTAATTGCATATGCAACACGTAAAATTCACTTTTTACATAGACGAATTCGACTTAGAAATAAAAAAATGTATTTTACTTTTTAAAAGATAAAATAATAATTTTCTCCGAATAACATGAATATTTCGGTGACATAAAAATCAAAGTTTAGTCATCAAACACGAAAAAAAAAGAGCACAAATCTTGAGCAGATTTTATCTTCTAAATGAGAAAGCTCTAATGTCAAGATGAATCATAAAAAACATGTTCAGTGGAATATGTTAATATCTGACCAGATGTAGCAAATTCGAGACCGCTTGAGTGATCACCAGAGTGGTCGAGTTTGAATAGCCCGAGCAGCTTATTCAGACAACAGACAAAGAGTCTTCCAAGCCTACCAACATGATGAAGTCGATCCAATAGAAAACGACCCTGTCATATCGGGATCATTTAGCCATCTCCCTCGACACCATGAAGAGAATACAATAGATATTTATAGGTCTCAACTGTCCCATTAAGATCCTCTCGTTTAAGGGAAGGCTACTCGTAGAATTACAATGATTTATACTATGTCCGATGACCTATCTTCAACCTGTTGACAGAAGCTCTTTGGTGGAGATCGGGGGTCCACGACCCGAGCTTATCTACCAATCGTCAGAATTCTGCCCACAACTATCGAGCCGATCGACAGCCCCAGATCCACCAGACTGACAACATCGTCTGATGTAGTCGACTAAACAAGACTTGCATGAGTTCTATCAAGTTCAGTTGACCTGCCAAAGAGCAGTAATGTCCTAGATCCACAAGGGTAAAAAACCTAAATTAACCTATAGAGTCCCCGCTCAAGTAGATATATCAATTTAATATCACATAATGTATCCCATTGTCTATAAACATGATATTATTTCATGAATAAAATGTTACACAAGTCCCTCATTCTACTCTTCATTAATGTGCACTCTTTTCCTCTCTCTTATTTTATCTTATATTTCTTAGGTGTGATTCACAAGACAAATAAATATGGATTCAACTATATAGGTAAATACATAGGAATTGGACGATAGGTAAGTAAATGCCTGAAAAATATTTTCCTATATATTTAGACCATTCCTCTAAAACTTACCTGCATCTGGTCTCCTATGGTGACCACCATGGCGGCATTAGCAGGTCGAAATGAAACCAGAGCTTGTTTAGAGTAAACTCGAAAGCTGGAAGCCCCTGCGAAGACATGGAAGCTGAGAGCGTGCGAGCAACCCAAGCTCCTCAAAAACGCTCCCAGCACGTCCTGATTCAGATCAAAACCTTCCCTTTCTTCATTAAAAATTGCTTCTTTGCTTCGCCTGTGCTTGCGGAGACATACAATCATGTTGTCATCTTTAATATCATTCTTCTCTTTTCTCCATTTAATGGAGCTTTCGGAATCCATTAAAATAAGCTCAAGCTCTCGCGCCATTTTCTTTATTTTCATTAGAAGCTGCTCCATTTTGACACTGAAATAGTTTTGTATCAATATATTATAGAGATAATTACATAATTAAAAACTCAAATGTATGTCATGATCAAATTGTTATTGAGAATTTGATGAATATATATATATAATAATAATAATAATAATAATAATAATAATAATAACAACATATCATATATATTAAAAAAGATTTTATCAATTTATTAATTCTTTATATTGGGGGGATTTACATACATATCACAATATTTTATATATTTATATATTTAATATTTAAAAGTTAAATTTTTATTTATATAAAATTCAAGTTCTTAAATCACATAAAAATTCTACTAATATTAACTCCTTTTTAAATTAAAATGCATTTCATAAAATATTATATAAGTAAATATCAACATTTAGATATCTGAAAACTAATATCTAACATGATGGTTATTTGATATCATTAACTCTACATTTGAATAAATAAATAAATATTAAATAAGTAAAAATCATTTGGGATCATTTTTAATTTAATTTATATTTCAATTTGAATAAAAATATATTTAATATATTTGATTATGATATTATTATTTTTAAAAATATTCAGAAGATCTAAAATTATTTATATGTTTTTACAAGATAATTGAAATTATTTTAATATATATAAAATTATATTAAATAAACTTATTTTTAAAAATAAAAAAAATGGATCCTAAATAAATACTTAAAAAATAATTGAATGATTTAATGGTAAGAAAAAAAAGAAAGGAAAAATCACCTAAAAGCATCGCACTCTGGCGGCAAAACTCCCGCCATTCCTTCTGCTGCGTCGCTCCACCAGAAGAACTCATCGCTACCTCCTACATCTTCTTCCTCCTCCACTTCAAATCCCCACTTTCTTTCCGGCGATCTCGCCGCCTCCTTCTTCCCCTTCAACGGCATCCCAAAAATACCCTCCGCCCCTTCCACCGCCGCTTGAATCAAA